GTTAGAAAGGTTAATTGTTCTGGAAGAATAGAGGGGGGTTGGATGGTGACTCAAGGAGACTTCTTTGCAAAGTTGGAACGAGCAAGGACTTGGAACCTGGGAATCGTTCACACAGCTCTCTGAGGAGGGACGTTTCAGGCAGGGACACAGCAGGCACAAGACCCTGAGGCAGGACCATGTCTGGTGTGTTTGAGGAACAGTGAGGAGGCTGGTGAGGCCGCAGCACAGAGAACAAAGAGGTCAGAAAGGAACTTGGGATAAATCATGAGAGAACTTACATGCCACCAAAAGGGCTTTGGCTTTTACTCTAAAGAAGATGGAAAGTCATTGGAGGGTTTTGAGCAAAGACATGGTCTGATTCCACTTTGAAAGAATCCTGTCCATGGTCTGTTGAGAACAAGCTACAGGGAGGGGGGAACGGTAGAAGTATGGAGACCAGTTGGAAAGCGGTTGCAGTATTGCAGGTGAGAGAGGATGATAAGCCAAGGACCAGGTGGTCACAGCAGACACATGAGAACTGGCCAGAGTCTTGCTGTATCTTTTTTAAAGACTTATTTATATTTATTTTAGGGAGAGAGAGAGAGCAAGAGGAGGGGCAGAGGGAAAGAGAAAATCTCAAGCAGGCTCCCCGCTGAGCGCAGAGCCTGACCCAGGTGCCCCTCGTGCTGTATTTTAAGGTCGAACCAGAAGGATTTCCTGACCAATTAGATGTGGGTTGTGAGAGAAATGGAGTATGACTCTATGGCTTTTGGCATAAACAAGTGGAAGGATTCAGCTGTCATCAACTGAGATGGGAAGGAATGCTTGCAGAGTAGATCTGGGGGAGCAGATTGGAATTTTGATTCGGACCTGCTAAAACTGAAATGAGTAATCATGAAAATGTCAAGTAGACTATTAGAGGAGTCTAAATTCAGAAGTCAAATGGGAGACATAAGTTTGGGGCGTCAGCCCATAAATGCCATTTCAAAGTCTAAGATGAGGTAAGATTTCCAGGGGGGATGTGTGTTGAGAGCGGACCCAGAGTGGACCCCTGGAGCACTGCAAGGTTAAGAGTTGGGGAGAAGAAGAGCAACTAGGGAGGTAGGAAGACATCAAGCCCAGGAAGCGAGGATTAGGAGAAGAGAGCAATCAATCACATCAAAGGCTGCCGCAGTGGGACGAGGAGGCCTGAGTGGACTCCTGGATCTCGCAATGCAGAGGTCATGGCGACTCTGACAAGAGTAAGTTTGGTGGAGGGTGGGAGCAAAGGCTCAGCTGACCCATTTAAGGGAATGAGGGAAAAAGAACTACACATCACAAACATTGGCAAAGTCTTCCAAAGACCGTTGCAGAGAGATGAGGTGGAAGCTAACGGGGTGAGTTGGGGGAAGAGCTGGTTGGGGTTATTAAGAAGGTAGAAACAATAGCCTATTTGTATGTGGCTGGGGAGGATCCAAGAGGACATCCTCTTTGCCTTACTACACAGATCCCACGTGCGCCGTCCAAGACTCCTCAGACGAGGGCCTGCCCCATCACTCAATACATAGGGTAAGTGCGTGCACGGCCCTCGGCCCTGCTCAGTTGTACACGTGGTGACTAGTCAGCACCCTTCCTATACCTGCAGCTGAAAAGCAGCTACTGCTCACCCGCCCTACAGTAGTTTCTAGCATTTAATAGGCATTCTCGAAGTGTGACGAATCTGTGGGATTCAGGAACGGATCTGACCTTCCTGACTGGTTCTCTCACACATTCGATGACTGGATTAAACACTATCGTTTTCAGAATGCAGTTGCCACGGTGCTTCCCACCTCCATTCCTAACTACAGCACTTTACATCTCAGGGTACAGTCTGCCCCCAAAATCATCCCCCTGCCACACCTTTCTGGAGGATTAGAAAGATGAAATTTAGTGTGTACGTAGGTGGAGGCAGGTTGAAGACTATGACCACCACTCTGGTTGTCTCTAAAAGTAGCGCCAAGCAGCTGAGGTCTACATCAGGTTTTCTCACTGGGATGTCTAAGTCTAAGAGAATGTGTCCTTCTTCCTCTCTTTCCAGCAGACATGACAGGTAAAGCCCAAGTATTCCACCACTGTTTTTTCCACAGGTGAGACTCAGTGATCTTACAGAGAATTTCTTCCTTGATTCCATCAATGGGTTGTGCATTGGGCATGGCTTTTGGTGATAGAGTACTTTTTCTTTCTCTTATTTGCCCCCTCCCCCCACCGTGTACTCTGTTGGGAAGCTGCAACAGGTTAAATCAGGGTATCAGCCAGGTGTTACTTTAAGTGAGCTACGCTTTGAAGGGAAGGCAACAAGTAACAGATATTGAATAAGCCAAAGTGCTTAATTTTGTTTTCTATGAAATAGTTTATTTTACTCTTTATTATGGAGGGGCTACAAATACATAGCTGACAGAACACAAGGTTCTAAACTTTGCAACACCGGTAAGAATGGTTATGAGGAACGGAGAAGCTAAAGAACAGGGCACACAACATTTACATTTGCTCATCTCCACCATACATCTTAAAACAGCAAAGGCACTTTTCAAAATGGTTAAATAGAAGAGCGTGGAATTTCAAACGACACATACCCAAAGCATAAGTCAAGTGATTGAATTTTCTTATACTTTGATTTTTAACATTTTACTAAAATCTCTTGAGATATGCACTTGACTTTGTAGCCTTGCAAATCAAATCATTATTTAAGACTTCCTCAAATGAAAAGAACCTGATGGAATACTATAAAATCAGAATTTTTCTATACCCAATTATTGTTCAAAGAGCACTACTATGGTCCATAGGCCATATTATGTGATCATGTCCTCTCTGTGGTGAGGACTATGGAAGTGGACTCTTGTCTTTGTGGTTTCCTAGGCACACTGATCTAGAAACTGCCAGGTCCACAGCATTGTGCTGGGTGCTGTGGAGACACACAAATATGTATTACCTGTGCTTTCACAAGCTTACACTTACCCACTCTAATTGGGTCGGTCATGCGTTCCTTTCAATTCCTACTGACCTGTTCCAAGCAGTTTCTTTTGTTCCCCCCGCCCCCCAAGCAGTTTCTTATAATAAAACAGGAGACAGATTCAAAGAGTTTGTGTCCCCATCCCTTACTCTATTCGATTTTCAGAAAAAGTCAGAGCAAGACCAAATCAAACTTACAAAGACAGCCCGAGCCCCACATCCGTCTGATGTATGGTTCTGTTTGTCTACAACATGTTAAAAGCAGTGGATAGATTGAGAAGTAGGGCATCTTTCAGCTCCTTAGGACTCAGTGCCTGCACAAATATAAGCACTACAATGCATTCTAAAACAAATGTGTAAATGCTCTTGGACGGATTCATGCCCTTACTCCACACTCACAGAAAAATAAAATTGACTTCAATCACATTTCCATTGTGAAAACACAAAATTAGACTAATGAAAGAGAACAGTTAGCTATCCTTGACTTTGTAATACTCTGACTCGATACAATTAAGGACCTCTTCTAATGGCATCCCTTCTCAACATGAAAAAACAATTTCTTGCATGTTTTCTAGAAATCAGTGTCTAGACATACAGGCGTAGATAGAGTAAGTGTGGGTGACAAAGCTGACAGGGCAGCAAGCATGTTGAAGACTGTACTGAGAATGAGAAATTTCAATTTTTTATTCTTGCTACACAGAATTGAACGATGTCAAATTTTGCTGTAGAAATGCTGAAGTTATCTTCTAGCGCAGAGCGATTGTATGGTAAGTGAGCTGCAGGAGCGCAAATACCATGTATTTCTCTGACGCGTACTAATTATCCCTCCTCCATTTTAGATAATGTTCCATTTTCAATATTGAGCTTTCTTTGAATCAAGAAACCCCCAAGTTCATAAAATTGGAGTGCAATTTTCAGTGAGCTTTGTCAGGATGGAGAAGCCAAAAGACCACTCAACTGGTGATACTGGGTTATAGTCAGAAGGAGTTAATCAGTGTTATAATCACAAAATTGCTACAGGGCAATAGGCTTCAGTAATTAAACATAAATCATAAGGGTATGTTTCAGGCATTATAAAAATAGTGACCTGATTTCACTGGGTACCAACTAGTATTTACAAAGCTACTTGATTTTTTCTGTTGATCTTCGTTGCTGTTAAATAATGATAGTTTTGATAGTGGTAAAACTTCATTTTTCAAGTGCAGGATGATCTGAGCTGAATGAGAAAAAGAATGATTAAGGGAAGGAAGGAAGGTAGGCCTGACATCAATTTGAACAACGTATTTTTCTTTTGTTTTTGACTGTAAGAAGGCTCGTGTCTCTAAGATTACCATAGTAAAGTCATTAACATGCCAGCCATTTTAAGGGTCTCAGGATTATTGAAGACCAAGAAAGACAAAAGGATAAACTGAACCAAGCCACCACTAGAACACAGACATGCCCGCCACCAGTATTTCTGACAGCCACATATATTTAAATACAAAGAGAATGACATATATACGACATTGTCATATAAATACTTCATTTTTTATGGTTAAAGTTAAAAAAAACAATTTTATAATTTTATTTTTTATATTTAAGAGTGGAATACTTTATTAAAAGAAACACTGGAAACGTGGATTCTTTTTGAGAAATAATCTTCATCTTCACTGCAATCATGGAGAAGCGAGATTTCTCCCTCAACCAATAGAAAAATAACCATTGATGAATCTAGTGCCAATCCCAAATAAAAGACATACATATGTATGTTAGGACTGATTCTGTCCATCCTGTTAAAACGTTTCCATTCCTGAACTACTCAGATTCTAAAAATGCTCATTTTCCTGGGCATCCTATTTTGTCAAAGGATTGAGTATTTATTATGTTATTTACATTGACATTTACGAAGAGTAGAGAGACCAGTGACAATACCCCATAGCATGTAAGATCTTTATCTTTTTTGAAATGTTATCAGACTATAAAATTTAGCGTAACTTGCAGGTGTCTTGAGTTATCTCCTAATGTGCTCTCTCCCTTCATATTTCTTTCCATTTAAACAGAACATTTTTGCCTTTTAATACCAATCCTGTAGAATTAAAAAAAAAACAAAAAACAGATTCTATGTTTCAGACATTCTGAATTAAAATGACCAAAGAAATAAAACCTATACAGGATCATTTTTCTTTCCTAACTAAATACTGGTTCTTCTATTAACCGTATTTCAAATTTAGTTTTATATGTATATACAGTCAACATATCCATGTGCACAAGTTTCTGCAGAACCTCCAATTTTATTATAAAGCTTCCTCCCTCGAACACATTTGAGGACTTTGTCTTTTCACTTTGTCTTGTTTAGACAACACAAGGAGGTTGGCACATTTTAACGTTAACAATACATTTTATTACTGTAAAAACAGACTTAGATTAATGGTGACTCTAGCTATTTGGTTACTGAATGATGCATGACTATCTCGACTTTCTATACTCATCATTGTTGGCTAATTTGACACTTGATTGTACAACATGCATCTCTCGGGGGATAATCAGGGAATGCAAAAGTAGCAAATGCTAAGCAGATGATTTTGCTACTTTGAGCACTTCTGGTAGAGGGACTAGTTGAAGTTAAAGAGGGAAGCTATCAATGAAAATAAGATCAGAGAATAAGTTACCTGTGGATTTCATTTACTCACATTAGGTCTGGCCCCTCCTTATTGGAGGCTAACTGGAAACAGACTGGACCATGCTGTTCATTTCCAACACTCCAATGATGTTCTCCAATAATTTTATTATCTCGTTTTATGGTGCCATACTACGCCTTTTGTATTGTTTAAATTTTCCATTTAAATAATCCATATGCCAAAAAATTACTACACATTCCCTTTTACAGTCAAAAATAGGTTTACTGGAATGTTTGTTATAGCTGAAGGCAGCAAAATTTACATTTAGCTTTTGTTACACCCATAAACATGTGGAAATTGCTTGCAAAGCAATTGTAATGTTAGAAGAATCTTGCAAATATTGATGGAATGGCTATGCATGTTTTTAGCATAATGTTTTGGTACTCTACATAGGCTTCTGGACTCCAGTTTGACCCCCGTGTCGATGCAATAATACAAGTCCTTATATTAACAGTATGAAATATTGTGATCACTGTTTAATTACATGTACAAACAATGAACTGGCAAGTATCTAGTTTCAAATTAGATCCTTGGAATATGGCAAAATAGAGGCTGGTTATCTTTGCCTTAAACATAATTTTTAAAAACACATTTTGTTAGAAGGGAAGAAGATAACTGGACATTCTCAATGCTCCAATTTGAAGTGATACTTGCCTCTTAGTTTCTTGAAAAAGAAGTTTTGAAAGTTATATACATAAGTTTCATTTAAATTATGCAGCAATCTTTTATTATTGTTGTCCCAAATTTTGTGTAATGAAGATCTCTGTCACCAAATCAAGCACGATATTTCAAGACTGTAAGAACTGCAAGAGAAAAATGAAAAATGGAACATATCAAAATCAGATTCAGATGGTACGTTAAAAACAATATTCCTAAATGTAGCTGTCTACTTTTGGAAATAGGTAATGAGGAACGAACTTTTTATTTTATTTTTTTAAAGATTTATTTATTTATGTATTTTAGAGAGAGAGAAAGAGAACATGTGCACGCGGGGCGGGGAGGGAAGAGGGAGAGAACCTCATGCAGACTCCCCGCTGAGCACTGAGCACGAAGCCCAATGCAGGGCTCAATCTCACAGAGATCATGACCTCAGCTGAAATCGAGTCAGATGCTTAACCAGCAGAGCCACCCAGGAGCCCCAGGAAAGAACTTTTATCTGAGATGAAAGATAACAAATGGGAGTGGATAAGCAAAAATATCATAAAACAAACAATGTCTAACATTGGCATTTTTTCTTTAAAGATTTTATTTTTATGTGATTTCCACACCCAACACGGGGCTCGAACTTGCAACCCCGAGACCAAGAGTCACATGCTCTACTGACTGAGCCAGCCAGGCGCCACTAAATTAGCATTCTGATCAAATAGATTATGATATTACCATAGCATACAGCTGCTACAATATTTTTTAAATGTTACACATATTTTCCCAGGTTATTAAACATATTTATTAGAAAGTATTTGTTAGTTTTTGAAAAACATGCTTAATATCTTAATAGGAAAAAACTTGAAGTATATATGATAGTTATATTAACAGTGGCTATCTCTGTATAGTAGGATTACAGCTGAATTTTATTTTCTTCTTTGTGCTTTATTCCATATTTTCCAAATTATCCACCATAAATACATGGTTGAATCTTGGTATCTACAGTAGTTATGTTCTATAAAGTCACTACAAACACTGAATTAGTGAATAATAAACCCTTGTTGCTAGGGAAAATACAGGGCTAAATTCCTGCAAGCCTCTGGCTACATTTTTGTCAACCAATCAATACAGAACCTTGTGTTTCTGTTCAAAGATAACCTTTTCATATATGCTGTTGATTCACCAACACTGAACTCCTGGCCAACAGCACTGTAACTTATGCCTAAATGAAGCTTATCTAACACAGGTGTTTTCCAGAAGGCCCGTCACTGCCTTCTTGAGCTTAGCAACGCTAGCCAGCACGTCAGCATGATGCTTGGGGGCCACTTTAAACAGTAAAATCACGAACAAAATGCACAAAAATGTGAGAAATGTGGCACTAAATAGACTTAAAAAGACACCTGTTTACTTTATGAGAGCTGAAGCTAGAAAGGCCAAGTATGGCCTCGTTAGACGTCAGCTGGGAACGTGCACAATGGGAGACTCAGATTTTTTACCACTCTGGACACAGCTGCCAATGAGCAGTGAAGCACCTCCAGGACTGATTTCTGGTTTACACATCAGTGTTTTAGGTGAAGTCATAAACATAGAATCCACGAACAACGAGGATTAACACTATTTCTTTGTAACAACCTTTTTCTGAGAGTATCACCATGGAGTTTTTCAAATGGTTATTTTGAGACACTTTACAAATCTTCATAAAATCCCTGTAAACACAAGTAAAGAGGCCTTGGAGAGGAGGAAGTAGTAAAACTGATCTGACTTTAATAAGAACATTATGGAAAAAAAGAAAGGACAAGAGTTAAGCTTTAATGATTGAAATAAAGTTCAAATCCCAAACCAAAACAACAAAACAAAAACCACCATCTGGAGAAAATTTATCTGGACTTGTCCTCCTAACACAGTATTATGAAATACAAGCTTCCATACCTGAAGTTAACAGAAGATGGGCCTGGAACAAATAGCTTAGCCCTGTATTTGAGGGTGGGGATGGGGAGCAGGCAGGACTCTGAGAATCTGATAAAAGATACAGACTCTCTCCCAATAAAAATGTGCATATGCATATTCACATACAATTTTTCATACAACTTAAGAACATTTTCAGAGATCCACAGACCCTAGTGGGTTAAGAGGTCCTGACTTGGGTCAGAAGTCATTACTCAAACCTGACATTAGTCATACTAGGTCAACTGAAAATAAGTTAAAAGGGAAATTAGAATGACCTCTAAAACAAATGATAGCCCCCAAAATTACTAATCCAGTAAATACTTACTGATAATCACTAGCAAAAGGATAACAGCAACCAAAGCCATGATGGCTTTTATCTACAACACACAAAAAGGCATAAGATAGGTATTAATGTTTTACTTGTTAATAAAGCCAAGATTATCTGTTGTGCTACTTATTACATCATACGAACTCATCAATGAATAGGCTCATCCCTTGAAAGCTTGTCCAATTTTTTATCATGTGAATTTGCTGGCTATTTGCATCTTTTTATAAATAATCAGAGTTTCCAAATTTAGGGGTTTTTGCCTGAATTTTATTGTTCAAGGCTGCACTGCACAGCAAACAGTAAGAATCAAAGCCCTCACTGGCCTGAACATTGTGTCTATGATTTCTCATGCTGATTTCTAATATGAGACCAAGAAAAGTATGATATTTTAGCAACTCTGTTCACAAGTGTCAGGATATGATGAGTAACACAGGCGTCTAACACAATTCATTCTCTCCACATAAGGCAGCGTTTTTTATAGCACTTACTCTCAAAGTATATGACAATTCTGTTAGTTTTTGTTCCTTACTCTCTTCTTGGCATTTCTGTCTCCATTTTGATGAATATAATCTAGATTCTTTGTGAATAACCTCATTTAATAAATAACTTGCCTAAGAGCACTCTTGGCCAGTTTCACAGTTGAGAAGAGAAACCTTAAGATTAGTCCTTAGCTGCTTAATATTTTCAGCTCACATCTCTCTCTATAAAATTGTCACATTCCTCATTTATCCTAAAAGCCATAAACTATAAATTGGTTTGATTTTCCTGATAAATTCAAATACAAGTCTGTTTTCTTTTTCTTTTTTTTTGCAAGTCTGTTTTCATCAAACATTTTCACAGATAATTGATTAAAGATGGTTCATTAATAAAAAAAGATACCTACCTACTATAAACACTTGAGTATCAGAAATAGCAAGCAGAAGTAGCTTTAATGTTTCTAAACTAAAGCTACTGGTAACATTTTTAGTGGCATTTATGATAAGAACAAAGTGACCAAGAGAATACAAGGAAGCTTTGCAATTTGGACACCAGGTGCCTATTAAAAATTTTTTTTTTTTTAAAGATTTTATTTATTTGACACACAGAGAGAGTGAGAGTGAGAGAGGGAGAGAGCACAAGCAGGGGGAGCGGCAGGCAGAGGGAAAAGCAGGCTTCCTGCATGAGCAGGGAGCCCGATGTGGGGCTCGATCCCAGGACCCCAGGATCATGACCTGAGCTGAAGGCAGCGGTTTAACCAACTGAGCCACCCAGGCGCCCCAAAATTTGTAATTATGATAACAAAACAATGTTGAAATTCTCCCTCCTCACCTACTGGATAATTTTGTTCGTTTACTTATTTTTAAAGTCAGGTTTATTGAAATATACTTTATCTAGAATAAAAATCACCCTTTTAAGTTCATCTTGGTGCGTTTTGACAAATGTATAGCTGTCGACCACCACCATCAGTCAAACATAAGGCATTTCCATCACTCCAAAAAGTTCCCTCATGCCCTATTATAGTCAGTATCCACCTCCCTACCCTTAGCCATTGGCAACCTCTGTTTTCTGTCCCTATATCTCTTTCCTTAGCCTTTCCTAACTCATCAAAGTCAAACCAGAAAATGGCAGTGATATAGGGACTATTCAGAAATATAATTCAAATATAATTTAAAAATACAATTCAATTTTTCTCTTTAAAAACATACTGTTAAAAAGAAATAAAGCATACTGTTCCTCTGATCTGAAATCCAGAAAATGCAAAACAACAATCTTTAGAGATGGCTAAAAAAAGCTAGGCAAAATGCACATTATGGTCATCTTTTTGTGGCTACATGAATGGGTCATGTGTATGTATGGGGAAAGGAAGTGAGTGGCTCATAACCCTTTGTTCTTCCAAACCAGGCTATAGAGAATTTCTATAAAAACGGAAAACTTAAAGAAAATGGGAAATTTATTCTTTAAAGAATAAAAATTTAAGCAAAAATTAAAATTCTAGACAAGGCAGTGGTAGTCCCTATCCTCACAGGGCTTCGGATCTAGAAGCCCTTTATTCTTTGAAGACCACCTGAGATGCTGGGCAACTTATCCACTGTCTTCTGACTGACTTACTTTGCATCCACGCCACCACATTTGCCTTCGAAGTTGTTTGGATCTGTTGCTAAAAGCAGTTGCATTATCCGATAAGCTTTCTATATCACATAGAGGATGGAGAGAAGGATTAAACGACATAACAGGATTCTTTTATCTAGTCACACAAAGACAAGAAAATATTAATTTCTACTTCTGCAAATGTACTCCCTTTTAAGCATGAAAACAACATCCTCCCTTTCCTCCACCCACAAACTCTGGCAATCTGTATGGGGAGGGGGGCGCAAAAAATGGCTGTAGGTCATTTTTCCCAGGGCCTCAATGCTTTCACATAAACTTATGAATCCTGGTAAGAAAATACTCTTCAAAAATTCAAATACTTGACACACCTATGGAAAAAAAATTTACACGTGGAAATGTAGATTCTTAGAAGATACAAAAAGTGACTGATTTTGAAGTAAAACAATGAATTTTATTTATTTATTTTTGCTGGGACAATTTTTGCTATCAGTTTTATTGAGGATGTGGAACAGTAGGAACTCTCATATATAGCTAGTAAGGATATAAATCGGCAGAGATTTAATCACTTTGAAGAATTTGACAGTATCTAGTAAAGCTGAAAATATCTGTCCCCTACTAAATAGCAATTTATTCCTAGTTACATACCCTAGAAAAAACTTTCACACATGCGCACAAGGAGACATGTACAAGCATGCCCACGATAAACCTGTTTAATAGTGAAAAAAATCTGAAACAACTCAAACATTAACAGGACAATGGATAAATAAACCGTGAAACAGTCTGAAATAAAACAATGAATTTTAAAAGTGGTTAAATAAGTTCTGTGGTTCGATAAGTCTTTCAAGGATGAGTGAGGTATTTAGCCATTCATCACTAAAACAATATTTGAGAAGCTAACATGTGCCAGCAACTGTTACAAGTACAGAGACTAACATCTGTCAATAAAGAAATGTTAACTGTTATCAGAGAAAGCCTAAGATAAAAATATCAGATGAAGTTTGACGTAAGTGTTGAAAGTGATTAGACTTTTCCTTCTTGAGATCATGAGAAAAGAAATACAGTGCACATGAACATAATAAGGCAAAAAAAATTTTACTCTAACTATTGAACAATAAATTTAAAATTTTTCCATTTTCAACCTGATAATTAATGCAATTAGATGATTCAAGTAAAGGGAGCTAAAGTTAAAATACTAAAATCACAAACTTAAGGACCAAATATCATTTTCCTAAGCTAAGATTCCTAAACTCTGGCTGGAGAAATGGGAAGAGAAATAAACTATCAAAACACAAATTAATAGTATCGAGAAATATATGAAGTATCTGTACCTGATTTGTCCTGTAGTTCATCTAGTCTCTCCCCTCTTTCAATTACCTTTGTAATATTTTCTTGCATGACATCAATAACTTCATCCACCTGATTCTGAACACTAGTTTAAAAGAAAGATTTAAAAATTATTTTTTCTTTTGAACATTTTATAATTTTTGAAACTTTCATTAGAAAACTTCCATGATAGAAAATAGCAAGTTTTCAGACAAGTATTCAACTATAAAATGTTTAAGTTAAGGCTGTGTAGCACGGTTCTTCCATTTATGGGCTTGAGCACTCAGGAAATTAAAGATACTATAAGTAAAAGTCCTATTAAAGATAGTTTACTTAGCCCTGTTCCTGCAAATTTCTGTCAGAATGTTCAGTAACTGCAGATTTTAGTCAAATAGCTTGACTCTAAATAATGTTTCCTTTTCTTTTCCATAGGCTACAGAGGCGTCCCGTGGACACAGCTATAACTTACTTCTGCTGTAGTTTATACACTAAGGCTAACAAAGGAGTCTGCCTGGGCGTGTGATTAGCTTATGAAAATACTCAGTTTTCAAAATGGAAATGTACGCTGATGCTCCGTGGGTGTTAACTGTTCACTGCTCATCAGTTTTCTCTTAAACAAACAGGTTTAAGACATGGGCACAGCTGGGAAGGTTCTGAAGCACCCAAGAGGGAGCAGAAAGGAAACATTTTTTGCTGTTTTTCAAAATGAAAATATAATTTCCTCCTTTATGTTAGGTGATGAGGGCCTGTTTTAATCAAATTTCAGACTGTTTAATAAAGACTTAATCTTCATTGGTTCATTCATCTAATTGGTTCTTAGCTGCCTACTCTCACTCAGAAGTTACCTTGAGTACACAAATACAGAAATGTTTAATAATTTAAAGTGTTTATTTTCCTCTGTTCTGTTAGACAAAAATTACCTTAAATTACTTCATAAAATGGTCATTCCAGTGAAATATTTAAAAGGAGAAATAAAGTGAACTCATGGTTCTTACAACTCAAAAAAATGTTGAGAATGCACTGGATTACTTGCAAGTAATTCTTTATTCTTTAAAGAATATATTTATTTTTTTGCCTCTAAGTAGAGGCAAGAAAAGGGTAGAAGCAGGAAAAGGTAGAGAGATTTGTAATTTGAGCAACTGAGTGTCAGGAGATAATGCTATTAACTAAAATAGAAAATTAAGAACTCAAAGGAAAAACAAGTTTGTAAAGGAGGGTGTGGAGATTTGTATCATTTCCGGTTAAAGGAGAGTCATATGGGTAGAAGAAAGGACACAAGAGAGCATGTACCCAGAAAAAGATAAAGATATACAGAAAGGAAAAGCTATTGTTCAATGTTGATTTAAATCATGCTTAGGGCTTGACAGCACCTGTATTCCTGAAATGCCTCTATTTCAATTATCAACAGGGAAACTGCAGGGTATAGTAGTGTCTGTTGCAAGCCTCCTTGAGCCTCATGTTTTCTCACCTTTAAAATGAAAATGGTCATCTCTCACTTGTGAAAATTAGATGTAACAGTGTTTTTTAAACACTTAGCACAATGCTTAACACTTAGCATGCACTTAATGTCAGTGCCCTTCTTTTAAGAAAAAAAAAAATCCTGCTCTGCAACAAATAAAGAAAATATTTATTTTCATAGTTAACACCCCCATCTTGTGGCTTTTTAAGGTAGTGTTGACAAAAGAAGGTTTAAAGTTATGCTGTATTTTTGCAACTACATATATATATATCTGTTGCATCATAGAACATTCCTTGGGGTCCTTTTTATAAAGTTAAACTGACTGGACCAAGGCTATACTTACGAAATTACCTACACCTAACAGAGAATGCCTGTAATTCATTAGAGTTGCATTTATAAAGCTGTTACTTAACTTAAAAGCAAAGAAAACATTCCAAAGAGAATCATACATTTTACATGTGAATATTTTAAATCTCTCACCAAAAAAAATCTTCCATAAAAAGGGATGTTGAGTATTTTTTGAGGGAATAATCTGGTGTCAACATGCCAATCAAATTCAAACAAAGCAACAATGTTGCTGATCCGTGAGGTTAAGAAATACCCTGTATTAAAACGTTACAAACTAAGTAGTGATAAGCAGCTTAAAGAAACTCACCAGTGCTAGCAATTTTGGTTACTCAACTAATGCCAGGTATTTGTCCATAGGCAAGCTGTGTGGTAGGTTGTGCTCTGCCATCTTGGGCCATTTTGGGCACACACACTGAGTCATGCCCTGGTTAAATACGCATTTATGAGTTTGTGCCCACAAGGGTGAATATGTGTGTTTTGATGACTGATCACTTTCTAAGTCTGGCAAGCCTTTAGCTCTAGAGTAAGAACCATTATACTTAATAATCCCTTACTGTTCTAAAATTCTGTGATTACATTAATATGTACATAAATATATTCATGTGTGCATGTGCTTGGCACTTGCTAACATAGATACTTTGTTTGCAATGACCACTCTGTACAACCAGCAGTGGCTTGGGTTCATCTGGAAAATCATATTCAAAAGACTCAATAAAGCCATACTCAGTACTAGGCTCACTCTGCAGAAGGATTATCAGACAGGAAACAAAGCATACTGACAGGACAAAAAACAAGTGTGTCATCAGTGAAGTCCTCTTTCCCAGGTGGTTTAGGTAAGAACTATGTGGGTGGACACAGAAGTCACGCTGGCTCAGTGTAGAGAAACAGCTCTGCCATGGCATCCTGATGACCCTGCATGCTTTTTAATCCTCCCAGGACACAAGATGAATGGCTTGTGAGGCCATCTCCCACTCATCTCCCTGAAGACTGTCACAAGACAATTTCTTACAACTTCCCAGGTTCTGAGGATGTATGGAGGCTTTCTGCAGGCCTTATCTGCAGACTATAAAACCACTGAGCTACTGTGCAGAATTGGCTCCTTTGTAACAGGGTATCCTACACCTCCTATTATAGCCGTGCAGCCCCTTTTGTTTTGCAGTCATCATTTTTGGTGTGTAGAACAAGAACCCAGAGAGTTTGGCTGCTCTTCCTTTTATGGTCTATGTACATAATGAACTGCCTGAATCTAAGTAGCTCATTGTATCTTTACTGGCCAAATCAGAGCCTTGGAGCAGCAGGGACTCTCTTCTGCTGGCCTTGAAGGAGCAGGTACCATGAGTTTTACATGTGCAAGGAAAATAATTCTGGCAACAACTACCTGAGCTTCATCAGGAGCTTCAAGTGAGATCCCAGCCCTGGCAACACCTTGATTTCCGGCTTGTGAGACCCTGTTGCAGAGGGCCCACCTAAGCTGACCAAACTCCTGGACCCATGGAAAATGTGAGATGATAATGTATGTTGTTTTAGGGTGCTAGGTTCAGGGCAATCTGTTACATAGCAAGAGAAAATGAAAACATCCTGTCTAGCACTCAAATCAGTTTGTGGGAACCTTGGTTCTGTATTGCAGAATCCATTAGCTAGGATTCGGCTAAGTGTGGACATTTTTTTTCACACCAGCAGCTACCTGACTAAAGCCCAAGTGTCTGACCAATAACTTGATTCCCTATTACAGCACCCTTCCCACTGTGTGCCAACTGAACTAGAGCAGTGACTATCCCTCCTTAGATCCTGAATCCAGGCCATTTAGTTATCGTCCACAGTTAGTCTTCAAAACTCGGTCAGTTTCCAGGGCTATTTCACTGCTCCTCCCATTCCTTCTCCCTTCTTGTCAGGGCTCAGATCCTTCTAACATTAGATACATTTACTACAGCATTACCCATCAACCTACCACCACCAACATATACAGAAAAAGCTTTAAACTAAAACTTACTTAGCTATAAATCTTAGATCAATATAGGAATTAGGATAAGTTATAGATATGAAAAAATTCTGGAGAAATATAAAAAAATTATACTTCAAAAAACTAAATCTATATTACTTCTATTTATTCTGAAAATGGGAATCAAGCAATAGATTTAAAACCAAAATGGACCTTGAGATTATGCTAAATAAATGGATTTGACATAAAGTAATTAAGTTAAGAGAAACCAACACAGGAATTGGATTTCCTTAGCCATTATTCAGAGGTAGCTTTGTGAAAATAAAAAGAATTATTCGTTTTTTTACAATCCAGTAGTTATAGTCTACATCAGGGCTCAACAAATTTTTTCTGTAAAGGGCCAGATAGATAATAGATATTTCAGATTTTTGGGCCGTAAGGTCTCTGTCACAACTACTCAAATCTGCCACTGTAGTCTGAAAGCAGCCATAGATAAGAAAACAAACAGGCATGGCTGTGTTCCAATAAAACTTCATTCAGAAAAATAGGCAGCAACCAGATTTGGCTCATAGGCTGCAGACTGCCAACCCTGGGTCCACACAGAATTATGATAATCACTTAAGCAAATGAGTATCTCAGGAACTTACTGCTTAATTTTATCATTTCTAGGTCCAAATCTTGGTCCAGATGGTCCCCTTCTGAAAACAAAATACCAAGTACATATATTCATAATGAGAGCATTAAAAAAAAAAATAGAAAAGACACACAATCAAGCTCAACTCTAAACATGGATTAGTCATTTATTATGAAAAACCACATTTTACTGGTATTGCTGAAACCAAATGATATTTAATCACATCTGTACTTTACTGGTACTTGGTGCTGGCCACCACTAATCTAATTCTTTTTTTTTTTTTTTAAGATTTTATTTATTTATTTGAGAGAGAGAGAATGATGCGGGACTCGATCCCGGGACTCCAGGATCATGACCTGAGCCGAAGGCAGTCGCTTAACCAACTGAGCCACCCAGGCGCCCCACAACTAATCTAATTCTTCTGAATGTTAAAATTTTCAGAGAAAATAGGGTTTATATAACCCTTTGTTTATACACAGGTTGTTTTAATCACTAACCTCTGAAACACCATAACAACTCAAGTGCCAGTGACTAGGAATAGCTTTACGATAAATTATAGAACACTAAAAGTAAATTCACCTTCGAATTAGGTTATCATAAAATGCTGATTATCAGGAATGGATATAGAGAAAAATCCATTCAAAACACTAGTATTTTTTTCGTTACTCATCTTAAACTTATCAGCAAAGCTAAAGGGAAATCCAAGAGTCTATGAAAATACCAACATTTCTCAAATTATTTATTAGTTAAGTGTTCTATCATTTCAACCATTTTAATATTCTGGAAATAAAAACTTTTGGATGTTCTGAGTAATTATCATTCCTTTGAGACAGAGAATAAGGCATAAACCACAAAAATTTTAAAAAAGTAGGGTGGGGTGCCTGGCTCACTCAGTAGAGCATGCCACTCCTGATCACAGGGTGGTGAGTTTGAGCCCCATGTTGGGTGTAGAGCTTACTTTAAAAAAAAAAAAAAAAAAATTAGGGGCGCCTGGGTGGCTCAGTAGTTAAGCGTCTGCCTTCAGCTCAAGTCATGATCCCAGAGTCCTGGGATCAAGCCCCGCATTGGGCTCCCTGCTCCGTGGGAAGCCTGCTTCTCTGTCTCCCACTCCCTCTGCTTGTGTTCCCTCTCTTGCTGTGTCTCTCTCTGTCAAATAAATAAAAATCTTTAAAAAAATAAATAAAAAAATTTTTAAAAATTAGAAAAGAAAAAAATAGGATCTGTACCAATTAAACACTAACTTCCCCATTCCTCCTCGTCCTGCCCCGGCAACCTCCATTCTACCTTTGTGTCTCCATGAATTCATCTACTCTAGGTACTTCACATAAATGGAATCATGTAAAATTTATCCTTTTGTGATCAGCTTCTTCCACCTAGCATAACGTCTTTGAGGTTAATCCATGTTATAACATGCGTGAGAATTTCCTTCTTTTTTGAGACTGAGTAATAAAGACCGATTAATAATCAATTGTATCGATATACCCTTTGTTTATCCATTCACCTGCTCATGGACATTTAGGTTGCTCCATCTTTTGATTATTGTGAATAATGCTGCTATAAACTTGGGTGTTGATTAATTTTTAAAAAATGTATTTGTTTTGTCTCCCTTTCAACACCCAGATAGAACCTCAGTGTGTGGAAACTGCATTTTGAGCAAGCGTGCACGCTGGCTGTCAGGCCTTCTGAAAAATGTACGTCATTTGCGAGCGGACTTCCAGCAGTACACTGCTGGTCTGAGGACTGAGTGTTTCTCACAAGGGTACCCAGCTTCCAATGAGGGAATCACTTATTTAAGCTTTTGGCCTCCTATTCAACCCTAAGTTCCTTTCTGACAGGCAGCTATTGCTCCAGTTTTAAGGCTTTTCACCATAATTGGCACCAAGGCAATTAGCTTTGTGACTCTTCGGAAATCTTGTCACATGGAGGAAATTATCTTTCCACTTCATCTGACCTTGGCCAAAGTGATACTATTTCCTGTTAATGGATCTGCTTCCTATCTGGCAGGCTCTTTTTTGTTCACTGCTTCACAGCTGTCAATTACTTTTAATAAAATGTTTTTATTTGGGGGAGCAAAAGCCTCTACAAAAACTCTGCAACATTATAACAAAGAGGGAGGCAAATGTTTCTCCTCAGGCACACCCCTCTACATGAATCTCCAGAGAAAACTCCTGCAATAATATACGCCTGCCTTCCTGACTTTGCAAATACAAATCTAGGCCTGTACGAACACAGCCCTTTCTAATCATAACTGTGAAGGATTGATCAGATCAATTAATTGACAAAGTATCATGGCAATTCAATGGGAAAAGGATAATCTTTTCATCAGATGGTGGGGGAACAACTGGATAGCCATACGCCAAAAAGAAAAAAAAATTCATTCTTCACCCTTACCTCAACCATATATTAAAATTTACTTGAAACAGATTATAGACCTAAATGTAAAAGCCAAAACTATAAAACTCCTAGAAGAAAATACAGGGGAAGATCTTACTGAACTTGGGCTTGGCATATATTTCTTAAATAAGCGAAAACAACAAAAGAAAATTTGTAATAAATTGATTTCATCAAAATCAACAGTTTGATCTTCAAAAGATATTGTTATGAAAATGAAAAGATTAAGATACAGACTGAAAGTAAATATCTGTAAAACATACCTGACAAAGAACTTATATCATGAATACATAAACAACTGAATAAGAAGACACATTTAGAATTGGGCAAAAGATTTTTACATGTACTTTATCAGAAGCTACGAGGATGGCAAATATACACAAAAAAAATGATGTTAAACATGATTTGTCATTAGGGAAATGCAAACTAAAATATAGTGAGATACCACTACATACCTGTAAGAATGGCTAAAATTAAAACACTGACCATATATAGCATTGATGAGGATTTAGAGCAACTAGAACTCTTATACAATGCTGGTGGGAATATAAAATGGTACACCACTTTGGAAAACAGCCGTAAAAATATACTAGCCACTCAACTAACTCCTAAGTATTTTCCCAAGAGAACTGAAAGCATAAGTCCACACAAAAACTTGTACATAAATGTTTATAGTAGCTTTATTCATGATAGCGAAAACTATAAACACCCCAAATATCTATCAATAAGTGAATGGATGAATGAATTGTAGTACATTCATATAATGGAATGCTTCTCAGAAATAAAAAGGAACTCCTGGTACATGTGACAGCATAGGTGAATCTCAAAATTATGCAAAGTGAATGAAGCCAGAAAAAAAAAAGGCATACTGCATGATACCATTTATTTAAAAAATTCTGGAAAATACAAACTATAGTGATAGCAGATCAGTGGTTGCCTGGGGATTGGGGGAGTGAGATTCCCAAGGGGTATGAGGAAACTTTTGAAGTGATGGTTATGCTCATTACTTGATTTTGGTGATGATTTCATAGGTGTATAGTACATGTATCAAAACTCATATACTTTATAAGCATTTTATTAGATGTTAGTTACATCTACAACACCAATAAAGCTGTTAAACAAAAAAAACTTACAGAAAAAAGTCTTCTTCTTCGTCTGAATCATCTTCCAAAAGATTTCTCTGTCAAAAAAAAAAAAAAAAAAGACTTGAGTTTTCAGATTCAGAAGGCTTACAAACTGTCAGGGAGGAGTAATGAAGGGAGTTCTATCCTGGTGAAATTTTTTTACTCCAAGGTTCCAGACAGAGGGAAGAGTGATTACCTGTGCTTCACGTAAGCTAAAAGAGCCACATATGCCCACCTTCCAAAGAAAATGCTTATAATAGCAGGATGCTATGACTGACTACAAGGTAGAAAGGTCACTGAAGCCAGGGTGGGAATAAGGAACTGTAGGCAATCAGGAAGAAGTTAAGTCCCTTCTCCTTCCTCTTCCAATCTCTCTCTACAGGCAGAACCTAACAGGGAGCCAGGTGGCAAAGGAGAAATGTAGTTGCAGAGCCGACTCCAGCATCAGAGAGGAGCACAGAAGACATGTTCAGAGCTGGGAGACAAGGGTTTAATAATTGGCACAGTCCACCTACTACCCTCCACGGTTCATAAATAACCCTCTACACATATTAGAACTTCCAAACAAAAACAACTTTATACTTCTTTTTTATAAGATGGAACTATTTTCCTTAATATGAAGATGATCGCACCCTCTTGCAACAACCAGACCTTTCCAGCATACAAGAACTTAGTATATAACTTGTAGGCCGAATAATAACTCCCTAAGATATCCCCATCCTAATCCTTGAAACCTGTGAAAATGTCTCCTTGCATGCTAAAAGGGACTCTGCAGGTGTGATTAAGTTAAAAATTGTGAGATGGTAAGATCAATGATTATTCATGTGGGCCCAACATAATCACAAGAGTTCTCAAAAGAGGAAGGCAGAAGTGCCAGAGTGAGAGCGTGGGAAAGAGAGAGAAAGGAGAGAGAGAAGGCAGGGAGGGAAAGAGTAGGGAGGGGAGGAGCTAGAAGATCTTACACTGCTGGCTTTAAAGACAATGGAAGGAGCGGGAGCCAAAGACCACAGGCAGCCTTTGGAAGCTGGGAAAGGCAAGGAAACTAGATTCTTCCCTAGAGCCTCCAGAAGGAACACATCCTGCCAGAGCCTTGATTTTAGCCCAGGAAGACCCACTTTGGACTTCTGGTCACCAGAACTAGAAGATGGTAAATCTATGTTGTTTTGAGTTTGCGGTAATTTGTTAAAACAGCAATAGGAAACAAATACACCACCTATGTGCCTTTTCTGAGAAAATTACTCAAGGAATTTCACCAGCCAAAAAAACCCAATTATTATCAGAAGAAACATTCTAAGAGATTGATACAATCATTGACTCTAATAAAATGTGTAGTCAAATCTGAATAAACGATAATGTGATTGTGAACTATATCTTATAGCTATTGAAAAAGAAAAGGTATAAGGCTAACATCTGGCTTAAGAAATTAAATGTAATACTAACGTTGAAGACTCCGATGGACCTTTCCCTAATCCTCACCTCCTCTTCTACCCAAGAGGCAATCACCACCCGAAAAGTGTTGGTTATCACTCCCTTTTAATGTTGTTACACATGTACTTTTATTTAATGTTGTTATTCATTTATATTTTGTATAAAAGCAACAATAAATATCCAGTGTTGGGGCGCCTGGGTGGCTCAGTCGTTAAGCGCTTGCCTTCGGCGCAGGTCATGGTCCCGGGGTTCAGGGATCAAGCCCCACATCATCGGGCTCCCCGCTCGGGGGGAAGCCTGCTTCTCCCTCTCCCACTCCCCCTGCTCGTGTTCCCTCTCTCACTGTGTCTCTCTGTGAAACAAATAAAATCTTTAAAAAAAAATAAAAAAATATCCAGTGTTAGGGTTTTTTTTGTTTTTGTTTTTTTTTAAAAAGGTATAAGGAAACACTTTAAAAGGGCCCCAAATTGTTCTAATACAACCTAGAAGCGGGAGTGGAAGGGTGAAGTGCAGAAGTAGGAGTGAGAGGCACACCTCCGTGGGGACAGGAGTGGCGGAGGCGGGAAGCTGGCCAGAATGAGAAAGGAAAACCAGAGGGGGCACTGTTTTGGGTATGCTGACAGAGAACGCAGATTTAAACATAACTGTTTTTTGGGGTTTTTTGGTTGTTTTTTAAGATTTTATTTATTTGAGAGAGAGTGAGCATGAGTGGGGGGAAGGGCAGAGGGAGAAGAAGGCTCCCTGATGAGCAGGGAGCCCGATGTGGGGCTCGATCCCAGGACCCTGGAATCTGACTTGAGCCGAAGGCAGAGGCTTAACCGACTGAGCCACCCAGGCGTCCCTAAACATAACTGTTAAAATATGAAGTTGATAAAAAAAAAGGGAAAGGGAGAAAGGAAGGACATTTTTTAACTAGTGATACTAGGGTTGGGGAGAAGATGAGGAAAAACAATCAATCTGCCAAAGCAGTCAGGGAAAGAGGGAAAACATATGAAATCTAATGAACTATATCTATGTATAATATATAACATTATCACAGAGAATGAGAAAATGAAAACAGGATATATTTAATATTCATTTAATAAACATGTTTGTGCATCTTCTATGTGCTAGGCACTGTTCTAGGCAAGCGCCAGCTTTAAACAAGACAAACAAGGTCTGAACTCTCATAAAAAAATATCTGATGGTGACAAATGCTATGCTGAGAACTGAAACAGTGACAGGATAGGAAGTGACAGGGTGACTAAATGAGATTAGGTTGTCATGGAAAATCACTCTCAAGAAGTGAAATTTAAGCTGAGATCCAAATGATAACAAAGGGCCAACCAAAGATCAGGGGGAAGGGCATTCACGGCCAGCAGAGGGACTGGCTAAGACAGAAAAAGCCCTAATATATTAGTTATCATAACAAATGTGAATGGTTTGAATGCTCCTATTAAGAGTAAAAATTACACATGATTAGAGTCCAACAATTCCAGCCAAATCTGTTTACAAAAAATTCACCTAAAACGAATGTCAAACAAAGGATGAAAAAAAGAGGTGGAAAAAAACACATCAGCAAATTCTAATGAAAAGAATGTTAGGGTTAGCAATATTAATACAAAGATGAATTTTAGGACAAAAGCATTAAACAACCAAATTAATGAGAAATTGGTGATGAGGAGAAACTGGCTGGCAGGAGAAATGTGGAGAAAGTGGAATCCACATACCCTGCTGGTGGGAATGTAAAAATTGTGCAACCACTTTGGAAAACAACTTGGCAATTCTTCCAAAAGTTGAACATAATAACTAAGCTGGCAATTCCAGTCCTAAGTATTCACGCAAGAGAAATGAAAACATGTTCATGTAAAAATCTGTATGTGAATATTCATAGCACTGCTATTCTTTTTTTTTTTTTTTTTTTTAAAGATTTGAAAGAGAAAGTGCGAGTGCGGTGGTGGGGGGCAGAGGGAGAGGAAGAGAGACTCTCAAGCAGGTTCCATGCTCAGAGCAGAGCCCAATGTGGGGCTCGATCTCACGACCCTGATATCACGACCTGAGCTGAAATCAAGAGTCGGACATTCAACTGACTGAGCCACCCAGGCACCCCAGCATGGCTAATTTTTTTTTTTTTTTTAAGGATTTTATTTATTTATTTTAGAGAAAGAGAGAGAGAGTGTGTGCATAAACACAGGGTGGGGGTAGGGATAGAGTGAGAGGGGAAAGAGTCTTAAGCGGACTCCATGCATGCTGAGTGTGGAGCTCAAAAGGAGGGCTTGATCTCATGACCATGAAATCATGACCTGAGCCATAACCAAGAGTTCGTCACTTAACTGACTCCACCACCCAGGAGCCCCAACAACACTACTATTCTTAATAGTCAAATAGCCAAAAAGCCAACAGCCAGAAGTGGTATGCAAAAAGTCATTAATAGTCCAAAAAACCCCAAATGTCCATCAAGTGATGAATGGATAAACGTGTTATATCCATATACTGGGATATTATTCAGCAATAAAAAGGAATGAAGTACTGATACATGTTACAACATGCGTGAACTTCAAAAACATTAGGATCTAAATCCAAAAAGCCAATTACAGAGACAGCATATTGTATGATTCCATTTATATAAAATGTCCAGAGTAGATAAATCCATAGATTGGTGGTTGTCTAGGGTTGAGGGGCTGAGAAGAATGGGGGATGAATGCTAAAAGGTACAGGGTTTCTTTTTGGAATGATGATAATGTCCTAAAACTGACTGTGGTAATAGTTGCACAATTCTGCAAATAAACTAAAAACCATTTGAGTTGTACACTTTAAAAGAGTGAATTGTATGGCATATGAATTATATCTCAATAAAGCTGTTACTAAGAAAAGTAGAATAGGAAAGTAGAATAAAACTTAAAAAAAAATTTTTAAAGTAATTTATAGATAATTAAACCAATCAGTTATCAAAATTCACCATCTGATAAACATTCAAAAGGAGGTCTCTAAGCAGCCAATTTTGTTCAATTTTGGTTCAATATCCTATTTTTACAATAAATTGTGGTAGTAATCAACCAACAATGTAAAGAGAAAGAGCCACAGTTACACTCTCAGCAGAAGAACTGATTAAGACTATATTTTATAATTTTAAGTATATACATAAAGCTTATTTTAAAAAGCTTCCTAGCAATTAGTCTATTGGTGGATTCTACCCCTTCAAGTAGAAAACAAACTAGAGAATTAGAATAAGGAAAAGACAAATGTTTCCTGTATTGTACTAAAAGATACTTTTAAATCATAAGCTGTTGGAAAGAGTGAATAATATGAGTTCAGAACTTGTACAAAAAAGGAATGTGTAAAATGAAGTCAAGTAGATTATAAGCTCTATACAGGCAGAGATTGTTTTTAGCACAATACCAGGTGGTCAATAAATGCATCAGTAAATAAAGAAACAGTAATGAGATAGGAAGTGAGCGAGGGTTTCAGGTTGTTGGATAAAAAAGAAAAACACTAAGTCCCTTCCTCAATAAATATTTCTTGAGTACTTACTCTAAAAGTAATCTATTTACAACATTCCTATCAAATGTTGTCTTCCAAAATTCTGCATAACTTCTAGATTTATACATATCTGCATAGAATGTTCTGGGATAGGGATGCCTGGGTGTCTCAGTCAGTTAAGGGTCTGCCTTCAGCTCAGGTCGTGATCCCAGGGTCCTGGGATCGAGCCCCACTTCAGGATCCCTGTTCAGTGTGGAGCCTGCTTCTCCATCTGCCTCTCCCCCAACTTGTGCTCTCTCTCTAAATAAATAAATAAAATCTTAAAAAAAAAAAAAAAGAATGTTCTGGGATAAATTAGAAATTGAATGTTAGGGCGCCTGGGTGGCTCAGATGGTTAAGCGTCTGCCTTCGGCTCAGGTCATGATCCCAGGGTCCTAGGATCGAGTCCCGCATCGGGCTCCCTGCTCCTTGGGAGCCTGCTTCTCCCTCTGCTTCTCTCTCTCTCTCCCTCTCTCTCTCCATCTCTCATGAATAAATAAATAAAATCTTTAAAAAAAAATAAAAAAAAAAGAAATTGAATGTTAAATAAAAACTACTCTGAACTCTGAGACAATTATAGAACTAACATTCTTTATCTGCAGTTCCAAAAATCTAAAAAGTTCTGAAAACCAAGAGGTTTTTTAAGTTTGGAGCCAAAACTTATTTGGAGGAATACATGACCTGAATTGATGTTAGCTAATTTATTTATACGCTTTACTTATATACTTAAGAGTAATCAGATATTTCTTCTTTTTATTTTAGCGAGGGAGAGGGAAAGAGAGACTCTTAAGCAGGTTCCACACCCAGCAGCAGAGCCCAACTCAGGGCTCTATCTCACAACCCTGAGATCATGACCTCAGCCGAAATCAAGAGTCGGACGCTTAACCGACTGAGCCACCCAGGCACCCCATAATCAGACATTTCTCTGAAAAATACTAATATACTTGGAGGTGCTGCTCCAGAGGCCAAAAAGCCTATTATATATGGGCGCCTGGGTGGCTCAGATGGTTAAGCGTCTGCCTTCAGCTCAGGTCATGATCCCAGGGTCCTGGGCTTGAGCCCCACATCGGGCTCCTGGCTCAGCAAGGAGCCTGCTTCTCCCTTTCCCTCTGCCTCTCTCCCTGCTCATGCTTTCTCTTCTCTATCTCTGTGTCTCAAATGAATAAATAAAATCCTTTAAGAAAAAAAAGCCTATTATATAATATGCATTTAACTACCTTTTTAAAATCTGAAAAACTCTGAATTCCAACCATATTTGGTTCCAGAATTCTGAATAAGATGCTGTGTATTTGTATAAAATTCACTTTGAAAGACTAGAAAAGTCTGTGAGTATAATTTGATCAATAGTGGAAGTAGAATTCAACTGAGTCACCCATCTAAGTAACATATACTTTAAAATATTTACTATGAAGAAAAAACAGAGTTAGAATAAAGCCATAAACTTTAGATTTTTCTAAAACAAATTATTTACAAAAGGAATGAACACATATTTGATCTGTTTGAAAAATTAAGATTCTAAACTCACCCTTTCACTTTTCACAGAACCAGTGACATCATCATCATTTAGGTGGCGCTTAAACTTGGGAGGCATACTTTTTACTCAAGAAGTACTCTTCTCTTTTCCAGCAGAGTAAGTATTCACCACCTTGAAGAGAAAATAAATTTCATCAGATTTGAGACTTTGGGGTAGAAGCTAAATTACTTCAGTAGTGTTCAAGGCCTTGTATGAAGGAGCCTCCTTCATTTCTCAGACTTTACTGCCTTCCCACTTGCTTCATTCCGGGTGATCCTGTCCTCCATGCCAGGCCTCAATACATAAAAAATAGTTAAAACTATGAGAAAATGGATGTAACTTGGAGCGCCTGGGTGGCTCAGTCGTTAAGCGTCTGCCTTCAGCTCAGGTCATGATCCCAGAGTCCTGGGATCGAGCCCTGCATCAGGCTCCCTGCTCAGCAGGAAGCCTGCTTCTCCCTCTCCCACTCCCCCTGCTTGTGTTCCCTCTCTCGCTGTGTGTCTCTCTGTCAAATAAATAAATAAAATCTTTAAAAAAGAAAAAAAAAAAGAAAATGGATGTAACTTTTAAAAGAGAACATGTAGGGGAAATTAGTGAAAGTTTTTACAAAATTCAAGAGCACATTGCTTAGGAGAGGAGGAAATTAGGAGAAAATGAGACACTAAATGCTTTAAGATTTTAACCTGGAATCAGAAGACAGCAGTACACTCCTAGTTTTTGCATTTTTAGTTAGTTGATTAAACATTGATTCAGTTTCTTCATCTATAAATAGTGATTTCTAGGCTTCTACATGGAGTTGAGATGGTCAAATCAGGTAATACATGCAAAAATATTCTGTAAGTTATAACATCCTATTCCAAAGCACAGCACTAGGCTCCAAGAAAAGGGACAAGTTTAGTAAGTAGTAGGTTAAACAGAGCCAGGTTTTTTGGTTTTGTTTTTATTTTATTGCTACAGGAAAGTCTCATAGCTTTTTATATACTAATATGCATTGTGATTTTCTAGGAAAATGCTTGAGTATGCAGTTTATTCAAATTTTCTTGAGAAAAAGCTGACATGCAAATTTGAGTTTTCAGTATCTTAGAAGATAGATGAAAAATGAGAATAGCTAAGGTACTGGATCTTTTAGTATGTGGCAGGCACTGTGCTCAGTGATTTACATGCATTTTCTTTTAGTCTTTATGATACTCCTTTAGAGTAGGCTCTAAGGGGCGCCTGGGTGGCTCAGTTGGTTAAGCGACTGCCTTCGGCTCGGGTAGTGATCCTGGAGTCCCGGGATCGAGTCCCACATCGGGCTCCCTGCTCAGCAGAGAGTCTGCTTCTCCTTCTCACCCTCCTCCCTCTCATGCTCTCTGTCTCTCATTCTCTCTCTCAAATAAATAAATAAAATCTTAAAAAAAAAAAGTAGGCTCTAAGAAGCTAAGAACTAAGGCTGAGTAAAGATAAGTAACTAATAGTCTCTCTACTGATTAAAATAGCAGAAACATAGGCTCAGGTTAATCAATGGCTATCCGTGATCAGTTTTAATATGTATTAAATTAACAGAACCTATTCTGTTCTAGAAAGACCACTTCTCTGTAACAACCCAACAGCCCTCTTCCCCTTTTCACAAAAAGAAACAACTCTAAGATCTTTAAGTATAAGACATCAGTTTGCTGGCTAATATTATATACAAGCCCAGAGGCCAGTTTCATAAACCAAATAAAAGTAATATTTTAAGTTGGCCTATCAAAACAAATTGATAGTTTTCTTTGATAAGAAATGCTTCCAAACCAGACTCTTAACCACTTGTAACAAAAACCAAATTCTTGCTACCTAAGTAACAGCTCTAGAGTTCTTTATTCCATGATATTTCTGTCACGTACATCTGGCCCATTTTATTCCTCATACTTTGATTTCAGAATAATTCATTCACGCAGAAATGTTATAGCATGCAGAAAAAAAAAAACAGATCAGAAAGGAAGCAACTGAAAAATCTGTGCTTTTCAATTATACCTGCATGTTATTATTTATATTTTAAACCCAACAAAGGGGCTGCTTTAATACCCTAAGGCAAAAAACAGGCAGACTTAACATCTTTATGAAATACACATGGAGTTGAGATGGTCAAATCAGGTAATACATGCAAAAATATTCTGTAAGTTATAACATCCTATTCCAAAGCACAGCACTAGGCTCCAAGAAAAGGGACAAGTTTAGTAAGTAGTAGGTTAAACAGAGCCAGGTTTTTTGGTTTTGTTTTTATTTTATTGCTACAGGAAAGTCTCATAGCTTTTTATATACTAATATGCATTGTGATTTTCTAGGAAAATGCTTGAGTATGCAGTTTATTCAAATTTTCTTGAGAAAAAGCTGACATGCAAATTTGAGTTTTCAGTATCTTAGAAGATAGATGAAAAATGAGAATAGCTAAGGTACTGGATCTTTTAGTATGTGGCAGGCACTGTGCTCAGTGATTTACATGCATTTTCTTTTAGTCTTTATGATACTCCTTTAGAGTAGGCTCTAAGGGGCGCCTGGGTGGCTCAGTTGGTTAAGCGACTGCCTTCGGCTCGGGTAGTGATCCTGGAGTCCCGGGATCGAGTCCCACATCGGGCTCCCTGCTCAGCAGAGAGTCTGCTTCTCCTTCTCACCCTCCTCCCTCTCATGCTCTCTGTCTCTCATTCTCTCTCTCAAATAAATAAATAAAATCTTAAAAAAAAAAAGTAGGCTCTAAGAAGCTAAGAACTAAGGCTGAGTAAAGATAAGTAACTAATAGTCTCTCTACTGATTAAAATAGCAGAAACATAGGCTCAGGTTAATCAATGGCTATCCGTGATCAGTTTTAATATGTATTAAATTAACAGAACCTATTCTGTTCTAGAAAGACCACTTCTCTGTAACAACCCAACAGCCCTCTTCCCCTTTTCACAAAAAGAAACAACTCTAAGATCTTTAAGTATAAGACATCAGTTTGCTGGCTAATATTATATACAAGCCCAGAGGCCAGTTTCATAAACCAAATAAAAGTAATATTTTAAGTTGGCCTATCAAAACAAATTGATAGTTTTCTTTGATAAGAAATGCTTCCAAACCAGACTCTTAACCACTTGTAACAAAAACCAAATTCTTGCTACCTAAGTAACAGCTCTAGAGTTCTTTATTCCATGATATTTCTGTCACGTACATCTGGCCCATTTTATTCCTCATACTTTGATTTCAGAATAATTCATTCACGCAGAAATGTTATAGCATGCAGAAAAAAAAAAACAGATCAGAAAGGAAGCAACTGAAAAATCTGTGCTTTTCAATTATACCTGCATGTTATTATTTATATTTTAAACCCAACAAAGGGGCTGCTTTAATACCCTAAGGCAAAAAACAGGCAGACTTAACATCTTTATGAAATACACAGTCAAGCTACAAGTTTAATGATGAGCAAACCCCATCATCAGGTCCTATAATCCAAGGATCAGCCTCTTGAAGGCAAGAAACCAGTGTCTGACAAAACAGAAAAGACATCAGCAAAGCATCAAGCAAGATTAACTGTGCTTGATGAACCACAGAGCAACTGATGATTTCTGCCAAACAACTATTAAAAAAAAAAAAAAAAAGAATGCTCAGAAATGAGGCATATATTTCTACCTAAAATTTCTCCTGCAAAAAATACCCATGAATTCGGGGATTTGTGTGTGGGTACATATGTAAATAAGACAGCTTTCATGATGTATTTCAACTCTAAGAGTTGAACAGCAATATATAATTCATTTAAAAAAGTCACATCATATGCTTATCTCATCATATGTTTACAATCTCGTGTATATTTTTTGAAGAGGCAGTTTCTCTATTCAAAGTCTTTACATGTAATACACTTCTAACCTGTTGTTTAATAATGTTGGCTTCTTTTTTGCTTTACACAGAAAACTAAACCCCCCATGTATTTCGTTTCACAAGAAGCTTTAATCTGGGCAGAGGTTTCCCTTTTCCCGGCCTCCATTCCCTGACTCTTCTTCCTCATCTCCATCACCAGTCTTGGTTGGTGCAGTTTCACGGAAATACGTGACTTGGATGGGCACAGCCTAGAGATGTTATTCACAAAAACTGTCAAACTATAATGATTCACCTCACCTCTGGTCATTATAAACGCAGCAGGGTTGGTGTTCTTTCTCCCGTGACTTTAAACTCGCCTCCCCGCCCCCCATCTGTCGCACCAGGCCACGTCCCCCGACATCTGCTCCTACCTCTGGTCCTTCCTACCTACCCCAAGATACCCACACACATTCCAAGCTACCTCCCACTCTTCCCAAACCCGCCCCACGCCCTCCACTGTTCTCTTCCCATCTCCCGCGAGCACCCTTTAATTGCCTTTCTTCTCCCCCTCAACCGCCCCCCATGCGCACACCCCAGTCCTGGTCGTCCTCCACGACTCCCGGCCCGCATCCAGGGTTTCCCCAGTCTGGGGTCCCTCCCCGACCCCCCGCCCCAGGCCGGTCCCGCAGCCCAAGGCGGACGTTGGGAGGCGGCGGAACAGGGGCGTCGTCTCCGTTTCCTTCCTCCTCACATCAGCCCCTCCCGTCGGGACGGCCCGCGCCAGTACCTGAGTCTCCGGGGGAGCTCCGGGCCGCTCTCCGGGGCGGGCAACGCTGGGAGGGCGGGGGAAGGAGTGGGAAGCGCAGGAAGAAAGCGGGGAGGGGGAGAGTGGGCGCGGACCCGGCGTCTGCCGCTCCGCCGCAGCAGCGCCCCCGCTCATCGAGCCGATCGGTGCTCCGCGGCCTGGCGCCAGGCGGAGGGGGCGGGCCCAGGCCGCGGAGATGGTCGAGGGAGTCGAGGGGAGCGAGTACAGCGTGGAGGGCAGGAGTTGCGCGTGTTCAGAGGAGGTGGAGGAAGCTCTGAGAAGTCACTTAGGGTGGCGTTCCGGGTACAAGCTCCGGGTTGGGGTTGAGGGAGGCGTTCAGAAGGTGATACTCTGTGCGCAGCCCATGCCCCTGGGCTAAAGAAGCCGAGCAGAAAACGAGGAGGGTGGTTCGCAGCTCCAGGACAGCTTCGGATCGTCTGGGGCCTTTTCGGAAGATGTGTGACCCCTTGTTTATCGATGCAGTTAGACTAGCAGGGAGATAATTGAGGGTTGCTAATCCCGTCTCCTCATTCTAGACGTTCGGAATCTCTGATCCGGAAAGGAGATTTACTTGAGGTTGCACAGCTGTTTTGGAAAGATTTAGGATGAGGGCTCGGTGTTCTTTCCCCTGTATCCTTGACTTCTTAACCTAAAATAACTAGGTCTAGACACCGGAGCCTTCAAGTTTCAGGTGGGAAATCACCCTTGTATTCTTTCACCGTATGATACTGAAGTCGCCGGGCACAGTAATTCAGAACACCAATTCCAGATTTGCTTTTACTTTCTCTTGTTTCACTTATCCATTCCTCCCACACACGCCCCAGCAGGACTGTTTTACTAATCCATCCCCCCCTTATCGTTTGTATTACGCATCTTTCTCATTGAATACCTATAGGTCCCTTGTTGATAGTGTTTTAGTGCATTTTTAAGTCAAAACATTGTAACAAATTAAAAGATGCCTTGCTAGGACAATGACTCAACTCAATTACCTAAAGTTGAATCACCTGTAAAGCTTTAAAAACGATGATGCCCAGGCACTACTTTGAGATTCTGATTCAACTGGCCGGCGATGCCGAGAAACAGTGAACCATGGGTTCTCAACTGAAGCTTCTGAAAGCCTGGTGTTGGACTATTTCACTACTCTCTGTGAGTCTACTACTCAGACCCAGGCTGACTTGGACCTAGAAGGGAAGCTTCTTACAGTTTTTCTGCCTAGGCATGATGGTGAGACTACCCCAGACCCGAAAGTTATTTTTTCTTCCACAATTGATTTTATATCTGTAAATCTGCTTGTTACGGGGTGCTTCCCTGCTTTGGTGCCTTAGTAAATTCGAGCGTGAGGCAATTACAGAAATAGCCCTTCTTACACCACAATTTACGACATGATTATCGAGTTGTACGAGCACCTCACTGCATAGCTTCTATGAATAAATAATTTTTTTTTTTTAAAGATTTTGACAGCGTGTGCCCCCGAGTGGGGGAGGGTCAGAGGAAGAGGGAGAGAATCTCAAACAGATTCCAGGCTCTGCTGGGACCCCAGCAGAGGTGGGGCTCGATCTCAGGACGCTGAGATCAAAACCTAAGTGGAAATCAAGAGCCCGACACTTAACAAACTGAGCCACCAAGGCGTCCTTTTTGGTTTTGTTTTAACTGTAATTCTTTAGTTCTGCCAACCATCTTGGTATGATTGCTTAGGGGAGGGGTAATGCTAGTCCCACCCCTTAATCACCTGAACAAAGTCCCCTTGACTACCCCCAACATTTTTGAAAGCTCAGAAAATGTCATTTTACAGTTATTATGAATTAGATAGACCAATAAACTGAAAGAATATAAGTAGCACGGGATATAGGGTCAGAACAGGGTTCCAGTCTCACCAACTTGAATTATTTGGTTATTTTTACCCTATTTTCTCTTTCTTGAGTTTCAATTATTCAGATGTTGGTTCTCTAATTTATCATTTCTCTTTCAACATCAGACCTTCTGTCTTAACTGGGCGTGGTATCCTCCGAGCCAGAGATCTTTTGTTTTACCCTCTTCTAATACTAAATCTCTGGGCTTCTACTGGATTGGAGAAGGGATTCTGAGCATTTGATTCTTAAACAAATTGTCTATTATTCCTCCTGTTTTTAGCTCACATCAGGCTCAGAGTTACCTAACATTTCCAATTCCTGAGCCTTATGCAGGGTTTAGCTATGCCAATCAGGTTGCTTCATGACCTGCTTAGGATTCTTGTTTCTTAAGTCAGCTAAGGTAATTGTTAATTATAAGCATGTGAACAACTGTTCAACATCAAAGTGTAAATCAAAATAAATACCATTTTTCATCTCTCAGTGACCGGGAAGGAAGGAGTTAAGCAGCAGATCTGCAATCCATTCTCTCCCATTATAGAGGAATACTCCTAGAAAGCAAGCAAGCATTTGATTCTTAGAAATATGGTAATAACAGACTTCCTGGTAAACAAACTAGTATCCCCTAGTAGGAGAGTTCATATCTATAGAATTCCTTTAGCAGGATAGCCCTGGACTGAGACTGTTTATGGTAAACACAGCAGAAATCTGTGGATTTGAGGTGCATGACTGGAAAATATCATGTAAGTTATGTAACTTAGCATGTAATGGAGATGTGTTTCATAACTGAGTTGGTTCCTTCTGTGTGAGGAGACTGCATACCTTATTTAGAAACCACATCAATTATCTTGGGTGGAGGTGCATCCAAAGGAAGAAAGGACCTGAGGAGCAGCACCAAGAGTCCTGGACCTCTTCCTATTTTGTCTGTGACCCTTGGTTACTGGTGTCTTTGAAATTAGTGAAGCTTGAAATTAGGTAAGATCTCTGATTTCTGAATTGTGAGTCTAATTTGAAACTTTGATCCTTTTGTTAGCTCAGTGGCAAAGATGAAAAAGTTTGACAATACAGTGTTGGAGATATGTACATGTGGTATTATGGGTAGGAGGCTAAGGAGGTGGGAAGAACAAGCTTTCTTAAACACTGTTGGTGGAAGTAGAAATTGGTACAAATTTTTTTAAAGTTCAGGGTGACAATACATGTCAAAAATTTATACTAAGTTCCTTTTGACCTAATAATTCCACTTCTAAAACTGATCCCATAGATAAACTTACACAGATTGTATAAAGGCATTTTCTAAGAATATTCTTTAAAAGATTTTTGGAACAAGACTGAAAAAAAAAAAAGAAAGAAATTTTAATTGTCCCACAATAGGAAGTAAGTTTGGTATATCCAATTCAGTAGAACAGTATACAGCCATTAAGATGAAGTAGCTCTACCTGCACTGACTTGGAATATCTCTGTATGTTACTGTAAGGTGAGAAAAGCAAGGTGCAGAACAATATGTAGACTCTGCTTCCACGTGAGCATCACAAACAAAAAAAAAACCAAACAAGAAAACAAAAACAAAAACCCAGAAGGGCTGGGAATCTAGTATGGAAGGTGATGTTATGGACTGAATTGTGTCCTCCTCACCCCCTCCCAATTCATATGTTGAAGCCCTAATCCAGAGTGTGACTGTATGTAGGTGATTAAGTTTAAATGCGGGTGGTCATAAGGGTGAGGTTCTAATCTGATAGGGCTGGTGTTCATATGTATGGGCACAGAGATGAGGCCATGTGAGGACACTTTGAGAAAGTGGCCTTCTACAAGCCAGGAAGAGAAGTTTCATGAGAAACCAACTCTGATGGCACCTTGATCTGGGACTGCTAGCCCCTAAAACTGTGAGAAAATTTCTGTTGTTTAAGCCATCTGGTCTGTGGCATTTTGTTATAACAACCCTAGCAGACTAATAGAGAAAGGAAACCTTTCCTAATTGTGTGGTATTTTGTACCATTAGACTATTTTACCACGTGGCGCCTGGGTGGCTCAGTTGGTTAAGCGACTGCCTTCTGCTCAGGTCATGGTCCTGGAGTCCCGGGATCGAGTCCCACATCGGGCTCCCTGCTCAGCGGGGAGTCTGCTTCTCCCTCTGACCCTC